GTTTATTATAATAATTATAAAATAACATATGAATTACTGTGGTTGATATTTTTGAGAGTCAATCAAACTCATAGATTCAACCAAATATGTTACAACGTCGAAAGTGCTAGGTAAATATAAGCAGTACAGCATAGGTTAGTAAGTAGAAACCGTGTTTAACCGTTTGAGTATTAGCCTTTTAGCCATAAGACTAGCTACATGAAATACTATTATACTATCAATCCATTGCGAACCAATTTAATTACCTATGTAACAATAATAACGATAAAGCTTGGCATATGAAATCGAAAAAAATACATAGGGTATAGCTGGTATCGTGTAGAATAAAGTGTTAAACCAAATTTAAAATCAGTGATACTATTTTTTTATTGCAGGTCATCAGTCAAGAGACTCAGGACGTGGGTTAGGTATCTACCCTTAAAAAAGAAAATATTTGGTGGTCTACACCCAGAGACTCTTAACTAACTTGCATCAGTCAACCCTCTAGGGTCCTACAAGGCTGTTGATACATAGTACACGAGAAGAACAAAATATTGCTAATCATACAAACCAATTGTACGGCAACGGACCCACCGGTGGCCAACCAAGGGTTCATTTCTTGGTGGTAGAGTACGAACAGTTGGTACGAAGCGCGCCATATCCCGATGACGAAGGTGGACGCGACGAACACATGGAGGAACACGTCGAGTACGGTAAGCGCGCGGTACGTCCACACCGGGTCCAAGCTGTACCGCTTTGGTGGCCGGTATGCATCTCGCTGCAACTCCAGCTGGCCACGCTGCAGCTGCAATTGCAGTTGCTGGTCCACGTGCTCGTCGGCCGACATGAGGCAGCGGAATTCGCGAACGCCGTGCAAGCTCTGACGAAGACGTTGGACGACGACTCGCCTCGCCGTCGCCTCCGCCTCCGACGCTTGCATTTTGTTTTAATCTTATCGGAGGCTCCGTCGCCTCGCAAACACTCCCACCACTCGCGCGCGACGAGCACCGCCACACGTGCTCGCGATGCGCTCCAACGTTTTTTTACGTTTCTTCCTCGTAGAAATCATAATCTATCGAAAAAACGCGAACCGAGTCGGCGGCGGCGGCGGAGACACAATCAAATGGACTTTGACGCGTGTGTTTGGCCGTTATTATTATTGTAGGTACACTAACGCCTAATTATTATTATTATCGCTGTTCGTATACATACTGCGCCCGTGCAGCACCGCAAGAACGCTAACTCGTGGAGATGTTCGAAGCGTAATTATGATTATCATGGTGAGGAGAAGGAGTAGCGGGAGGAGAATGAGGAGAAGGTGACGGCAGCGTCACGCGCGCTCGCCAATCGCAACATCGGCGATAGCGGTCTACGCCTAATTAGTAGCATTTGAACCGTACAGCGGACAGTCAGCGTTCTTTTTCTCGAAACGGTCACCTTTTCGACCGTCTGCGATACCGGACATTTACCATGTTTACTAATCAAGTACATACTTTGATCACCACACCTCTACAGGGCGTGACGTTTTATAACTCTATCGCTTGTTGTTGTTGTTGTTTTTTTTTTTAATTGTACGCAAAAGAAAAAAAATTCCGTAAATATTTAGGTGTGAATTATTTCGAAAACAAACCTTGTTCTACGCTTAATTTGAGTTATCATATCACATTTTATGACGCATTGAGAGCAAGACGGATTTCGAGTATTTTTCTACCAACCTAGATGATGTTCGTATCTTATATTCATATGTTTAACGATTGTACTTATCGAAATATTTTACAAATATAACATGTCTATTGTCTATAAAAGTGATTAATTATAATTTATAAATAATAATAAATTAAGATTTAATTGAAGATTAAAATAATTATAAGACTTATCTTGAAAACCGTAAACTTGTTTGTTTTTTTCAATAGGCAGGTACTCTATAGACAACTACAAAAAGAAACGTGGACAATGAAGACTTAATAATGAATATAATCCTAACAAATCCAATGTCCGTTTGCTTAAGCTGTTCTAATTGATCAATAAACAACAAAAACATATTCTGTTTGGCAAATTAAAAATATAGAGACAAAATTAAGTGCACGCCTACGTATTAAAATTTAAAATAGCATATAAAATATCTTTAAAACACTTTACATGGGCGTGAATTTCTAATAAAAGTCTTGGAATTCACACTCAAGTAAATGAAACGCAATTTAAAGCACTTCCGTTTCTCATACAGTGAAACAAAAAAATAATAATACAATAACGCAGAAGGAATTTTAAAATTTAATTCTAAAAATATTTTTCTGATCTTCATTATTTTAGGGTCACTCTGTATATTTGATGTAATAAATAAATCACATAGTAATCACATGATTTTTACGATAATGGATATTATAATAATATAAACGAACATACTAAAACTAATTTTTAAAAAGGAATTTATAAACATGTAATAACAGACAATTTAAAATACTATTAATAATTTTAAAAAAAATAATAGATAAGGAGTGAATAAATTTATGTTTTTGTGTATGTGGTTATGTCTTAGAGGAATAAAAATGCTACAATTTTAAATTTCGAGGATGGTTTTTGGAAGTAAATCGAATTTAGTTGGTACTTAGAAGAGTCGAAAGCAAAAATTTCAACATTTCCCTTACTTTTCTTAATGATTGGAAAAAAACAAAAATATTTACACATTATAAATTATTAACAAAATATTTTATTTTTTTTTGTAACTTATAAACGAATAACTACTTTAGATATTAAAATTTTCAACAAATTCTTAAATTAGAATTGTCTAGACATGACTCTTTTTTTTATCTATTTTTATATTTGAGTAAAATAAATTTGAAATTTTTGACTTGAAATAATTGGTAAAAATTTTGGTTTTGAATAAAGCTTTAAAATGTAATTCAAGGTTCTTTATAGGTTTTTCATAAAAATATTGAAATATCAAAAATTCATGGTCTGAATTTTAAATTCCGTTTTTATATTAACAGTTTTAAGTTTAAGTGTTGACAAAATTCGTGAAAATCACTATTATTTGCAAATTATTTCGTAATTAAAAATGCATAACATTTTAAATATAAATACCTAAGACCTAAAAATGTAATACTATATTTCTCATAAGTATAGTTCTTGCATAAATTTAAGAATATCGAAAATCCATACTATGCATATTTTTTATAAACATTTTAAATTCATATTTTTACAAAATTAGAAATAACGATTTTATTTATGTTGTGATTCAAAAAAAAAAAATCACAAGAACTTGAAACTTTTTGCTATCATGAATATTATTATTTTCTACAAACAATAATATTTAAAAAATGTTTAGACTAACTTGTATACCACCATCCTGTATTCATACTGTACTATGGTGCATCAATAGTCAATAATTGATTTATAACAATAATAATATATGGTATAGGTACCTCCTAATATTTAAATAATTTTTTTATAACACATGAAATGTTATTGTTTAAAATTAGTTCAATTTCAGCATACTGCATAACTAATAGTAATATAAATGTATTATAAAATATTCTTCGAAATAGGTACCAATAAAATTCCACTCTGAATCGTTTTTCGTTTGCAATAATTTATCATTTAATTCAAATTGTATTCGCCTATTACAGGGATCTTCTCTGACTCAATGACGAGATATCGGGGTATTTAAGAAACCTACTATAGAACAGAGTGACATGATTTTATTTTGTTAATATTACCATAAAGCACTTCAGATTTTCAATGTAAGAACAAATTTAAATGTTATGGATCATTTAGTTTATACAAATATTATTTGAAATTAACATATTCGAAAATGAGTTTCCAAGCACGCTAATCAGTTATCACAAAATTGTTATAGATTTTCGAATTTCGGGGATAAAGAAATAACAATAAGAAACTCTGTTAATATTATGCTATTATTTTATCTATTATTATTTATCTTAATATATAAAAATCACGCGTACCACGAGTTTACGTGCAATACACTCCAAAACTACTTAACCGATTTTGATAAGATTATGCTCAATGTGTGTGATTTGGTCCAACTTAAAATACATATGAAAGTTGTTATCTCAATAAGTGGCCCTTAATATTTCTATTGAACATTTAAGAAAGGATTTTGAGATTTAAGATGGAAATGTTTGTTTATACAATGTTACTATTGGCTTCAGCTTACAGATTATAATACTATAATAGTAGTAAGAATAAATAGTATTTATTGTCATTGGATATTCGGTAGATGAGGTAAAAGCATGCATTAAATCTTCGCTTGTATGATTTCGAATTAAGAAATTATATCTTACAACAAATATGAGTTGAATGTAGCTTATATGGGTACTATATTGCTTGTTGCTTATATGGGTACTCAAAAACTACTTATTCAATTTTGTGAAAATTTCAAATCGTTCTTGGAGATATCAGGAAAATCTAGAGAGAATAATTTTAACTACGTTCGAATTATATATCAATTGCTATTTTAAATCCGATTGGTATTTTAATAAATGTATATTATCATTAAAAAAGAAAAAAAATTATACGAATAACAATCCTATTTATGTTTTCAAAAATATTGTTTCTGATGACATCAATGTACGTAAGAATAATATCTTTAAAATAAAACTATTGTTTAGTTAGTAGGAACTAAAATGAATTCCGATTAAAGACATAGTTACTACGTATCAAAACGCATATTTATTACGGAATTAGTTTCTTAATTTGTTTATACATCAATAATAAAAACTTTTACTATATAGTAGTGTTGTATAAACAAGTTAGGAAAGCTTACTCTGCTAGCGGTATCGGTTTCTAAACGTATTTTTATTCAACTGTTGACTATACTGCAGTATAGGCACTATACTTTATACTTCCATATTACACGTTTAAAAATTAATATATTTATCAATAGTATTTATCTACAATCGTAACTATGTACTGGTAAGTATCGGAAGGACGGACAGACGAACTCAGCGGGGATATAAGGTGCTCCAAACTTATGTTTAGGAACTTAAAACTAACTACAGAAATATATGAGCTACTATTTATTTGTGTTTTAAATACAGAATAATTAGTTGTATACATCCTACAACCACCTACGCATTAACAATAGCTTATCTAATAAAAACGTACATCTTAAATATTTTAGAGAAAATAAATATGCGACATAAATCATAATATACTATCGAATTCGTTACATAATTATCTACGTACTTTTTTTATAAAACATTTACACACAATAATAATTTAGAGATTGATTCTGAGATGGAGAGTTGCTTTTGAATGCATTATAACGTTCTTTGACCACGTATGCAGCCATCTTCGGTTGTCGTTCTCTGGTAAATAATCCTTTTACACATAACCCCGGTCTTATATACTCTAATAACGAAAAAAATAAGGCTTAGTGACTAGTATGATAACAAGGTTTTTTTTTAAATTTGTTTACCTTGTGGTGTTTTAAAATCCGCAAAATTCCATATCATCTCTCCTAAGATTGGAATGCCATTGGCTATTAATGAATCAAAAGTTTTAAAATGTTCTTGAAGCAGAGTAACATGATAATCTTCACTCCACATTGTTTCTGGAAGCTTAAATAAGATGATAATAAAAAATACATATTATTTTAGAAAAATTTGATAATTTTTAAACAATTACTAAAGATATTTACGAAAATTTTAAATTTTTTTACCTAGCACATTTTTCTAGGCATGATACAACTATACAAATACTTTTAACTACTTTTTTGATTTACAGTCGAACTATTTTGATCGGTCTAGGTTATTGAAATGTTTGTATTAAGCCAAAAAAAAAAATGAAAATGTAATACAAAGTGTATCAGAAGTTGTTATTCGACAATAAAAAAATATTGAAAAATGCATAGTGACAATTCTTTTTATACGCTTTTTTAATTTTTTAAAATTGGTAAAAATTAATTAATTTAATAGTTCAAATATTTTCAAAAGTTATGTATCCCCACATCAAAAAGTTGTAACCATATTACTCAAAAAATCAGTATATAGATGTAGATTATTTAGTCTCTGACAAAGGTTTTTATAATTAAATAAGGCCCGTATAAAATTCGTGTACTATAGTTGGCCCACTTGTCGAACATCGATATACCGAATACTTTAAGGCAGCCTCTTCATAGTATTTACACCATTGTCCATTATACATTTATTTAGTACGTATCACGTAGTATCGACTTATAAGTTAAAAGTTCATAGAAATTATTATATGATAAACTATCATAATTATTCATAATATAATAAAATTAATGTAATTTTTTTGGCAAAAATGAGCTCAACTTAGTGTATTATTACTAAAAGAAAAATAACACTAATAATAATACAGATAAATTAGAAAATATGTTCGAAAATAAAGGCTAATAATTATAAATATTATTATTAACTGTGTATAATAATATACAGAACAACGATACACCAAGTATTATTAGGATATCGCCAAGTATAATAATCTATAAAAATAGTTTTACAAAACTGTAAAATATATGTACCTAATATTTGATCTAGTATTTATATTGTATTATGCTTGGATTATTTTTACAAATTATTATTGATAATTTAATATAAATTACTATAATTTTCAAATCACCATAGCTCCCATATCTTCCAAACCCATTATCATGAACCTATTATCCTTACTCCTTAGTACACAAATCTAAAAAAACTCAAAAACCACTTGTTAGAATTTCGATTTTCAGAAAAAGTATCAGTTAATAATTTACAGTAAAAGGGAGGGTGGGCATGCTTGGTGAATTTCTAAGTATAAAACTAATAATTTTAGTTGGTCAAAATTATATTTTTTCATTTAAAATACTATTCTTAGAAGAATAATATAATGAATTCATACCGAATGTAACCCAGGAATTGCTCCAGCACCATACTCGGTTAACAGTATAGGTTTCTTGAATTTTTTTGTAAATGCTTCAAGCTCATTGTATGTTTGATATTGAATAAGCTCTAAATGACCTGAATCACTATACCAGCTGCTGTATCGGTTTAATGTTAGAACATCCATGTACTCAATCTATAATTTTCAATAGTCCTTTAATATATTTTTGTTGGATTTAACTAAATGTATGAAACTATGAAGTATTAACAGCATATGGTTAAGTTATCTAAAGTTATCTATTTAATAGCATTAAAATAAATTACTAGAGTATTGAAAAATTCATATTTGTACAAACAATTATGATTTATCTTAGGTATTTATTCCAAATATAATTTATACCGCTTTAGCATTTTGAATTTGTTGACTGTTGACAAAGGTTATTGGCCTCGATGGATCCATTTTTCGTACATGTTGGTAAAGTTCTCTTTTAAAATCAAACAAATACATTTCAAAAAAGTCTAAGGTTTTATAAGATAAAAAAAAATTATTCAATGAAGTATAACATGACATATAATTATGCCAAGCTATATGATCTATTATACGCACGTTTTTAAAACAAATAAATAAACCAATAAACAAATAAATAAAATTCAGTATGCACTATGATAAAAATTTAAATTTGTTAAATACAACTTGACACTCACTGAAAATATGGTACAGATAATTCTAAATTGTTATGTGGTTCGTTAGCTAATGACCACATAATAACACTCGGATGATTTTTGTCACGATTCACGTTTTCCGTCATAACACCTTTATGGAATTTCATTACATCTGGTCCAAATATTCTTTGAAAATATTTAAAAATTAAACAAATTATTAATTTCAGTGGCACCAAACATTATTTTTATAGTAATAGTGAAGTTAAAAATTTACATTTATATAATCATGCCCTATGAAGAATGGGAATACTCCATTATGTCTATAACAATGGTGGACTATGAATAAAATTCTGATCTGGAAAACTTTAATTTCAACGTCCCAAAAAAACAGAACTTTAGTGCAGCCCCTATAGTATATCATTTTAACATAACCATATTTTGTTAGTCTTTAGAACATGTGTAGAAGCTAATTTATAATTAGATTACCTAACTCATTCTTAGAACTTTAATTATAAATACAACATGGTTTTTTACTAAACTTATTAATCAATTTTATTTTTAATAAATCATTTTCCAACGATAATGTTGTTAAGCATATTGTTCGCTATTTCTATATAGTCATAAGTCATAATCATAACTCAAACGCTTCAATGCTTCAATCTTTTCTTCATTCAAACTGTTCAAAGAATTTCTGAGTCAAGTTTGATCGGGAGGATAATTTATTCTAATATAATTCAAGGGCAATCGTGGCCGTATCAGGGATACACACTTGTAGTGCCACTGATTAATTTACAATAGCTAGTAAGTATTTCAAAATGTATTAGTACCTCAAGTTGCATGCAGCACTTTCCACAATTACTAATATACCTTCTGAATCGGCTTGCTGTAATGTTTCTTCTGCGTATGGGTAGTGTGATGTACGAAAAGAATTAGCACCTAACCATTTTATTAAATAAAAGTCTCTGGCACTTAATGCATCATCATAACCTCTTCCTCGTATCTATATATATATAAAGTAGATATAAGTATTAGTTATTATAATATATATCTAAGTCTTGAGGCGGTTATTTTAATTAATAAGTTATAAAGGAATCATAGAACCCATACTTCAAATAAATCTAAAATGTATTAAATAATACGAGTCGTCGATGTACTTAATATCTGTGTAATATGTTTACATATTATACAAAGGACTGCTATATTTCACTATATTTGTACCTAAATATTAACATGAAAATATGTTACTATGATCATGCTGTTTTTAATTGATAACTATTTTTAAAATTATTGTCAAACATAGTTTTTTTGATTTTAGTCTAAGTATTTACTAATTTTCTATTTTTATTACCAACTAGAAATTTAAAAAAATAGTTACTTTAAAATAAAAAATTAAGTTTTTAAATCATAACTTATGATTAACCGTAATGACGTTGTGTCGTTGTAATTGATAAATTGTACTCCTTCATCAATATTAATTGTACTAAGTAGGTTACATGTACCTATTGATTTATTTATAGTCTGTTGCTTAAAATGTTCTAAGCCGATTAGTAGGTTTATGTATTAATAACATTATAATCACTAACTATAGAATCTTCGTGCTTTCCAAATCCTCTTAAATAAATCGGTTCGTTATTTAGCAATAATTCTTTTGATGTCCATTGAAGTGTTCGAACACCAATTTGCATACGATAATAATCACTATTTTCATTATTGGTCTTCACCTAAAAGACACCATTAATACTTACTAGTTAAGTTGATGTAAACATAGTATTTAGTCATTTAGGCATATTACATAAATTATATTAAATAATAGAATAGGTACCTGAAAAGTATATAGGTATGCTATGTGTTTTTTGCCAGACATAATTGGCCACCAAGGGATTACATTTGGTATTATTAACTGTCCAGAACACGTATTCGATTCGACTACTACATTCCGATTAGCATCCAAAAGTGTAATATTACATTCAGGAACACTATTTCCACAAATATCGACTTTGTAGTCAACGACTCCTGCAAAAGTCAAAATTAATTTTACACACTTTTGAAGGTAGATTAATTAATAACGATACTAATATTTGAAATAGGTAGGTATCCTATAGATATTTTATTTGGAATAATTTACAAGTATTAAATTTAATTAAAATCAACTAAATATTAAATACATTTTAGTTAGTTAAATGTTTCACAATTGTGAGTAGTAGCATTCATATATATTATCAAATATCAATTACCTTCCGAGTTATTTCCAAAACTTGTCAATACGGTGATGTCACAAACATAATCTTTTGGCGTTGTATATAAATGGACTGCTCTGTTTATACCAGAATAATCAAAGTAGTCAAACTCGTGGGAATATATTCTATAATCTTTTGGATACCTGGAGAAATTATTCGTAATTTTGTATAATCTAATATTCAAGTTACCGAACCTAATTAATTTCTAGTTTTGTATTTAGATTATATTTTGTTACTTGTACGTGTTGTTCGGGTATTTTGTATATCCTTGTGGTATAGTATCTGGTCGCAGGGTGTTATTTACAGCAACAACAATTAAATTAAGTTCACCATATTTAAGGAAGCGAGTAGCGTCACCAATAAATGGTAAATGGCCGCCTTCGTGGTCTACACATAATTGACCATTTAACCACTGTAATCATACATTATATTTTAAAAGATATATAGGTATTACGAATAAATATAAATTAAATTTAAATTATGTTAAAATAGGTAAGGGTCAAACCATAATTATGGATGTTTAAAGTTCAAAGACAAAATTGTAATATTTAAACAATATATAATTAATAATTAATATGTGGTATTACAAAAATATTAATGTAGATTTTAAACTTGTCGTAAATTATTAAATTGTACTATACATTGTAAAATATAACAATAGGTATAAGAAAATGTGTACGCAATGAAATTTTCAAAATATTTCGATTTCGTTCTAAGCTATTGCCTATTTATACCATATTACTATAATAGCAATTATATAATTTATATAAATGTACTAAAAGCTTAAACAATTTCAGTGTCTGTAAATAGCTTAAAAGGGCAGACATTTTTGAAAACAATAATATAAAAATATGTATACTAATATAAATACTTGGTGAGAATTTCAAGTACAGTCATTCAATTTTTGAATATATTCTATCATATTTCGTACCTATATATTTTAAGGGCACAAAAAAAAATAATCACTGTAAAATCAATACATTCATCTCTACACTCAAAATCTAAAATTAATGTACGTTTGGATAAGACGAAAACTTCTGAACTAATTGGCACCAAATTGTTTACACATATCCCTTGGGACTTGAGGAGTGTTTTCAACCCATGTAGGTTGCTATAGGGTGGCTCACATATGTATTTCGTTTTTTCTCAAGAAAACCGAATATTTTTTCGATTACATACATTTAATAATGTGGCTATTGGCTACTGTCGGTATGTTCGTAGCTTATATATTGAAAAACTATTGAACCGATTTTGAAGAAAATTATAGGAATTTTCTTGGAGATATCAGACAAGTCTAGACTATAGATTGAACCACGTTCAAATAGATATACCTAGTGCAATATCCAATCCAACACTGGCAGATTGTCCATCTCATTCTAATTAGTTCACAAAAGCGATGCACTGGTGCCGATTTGCCGTGAACTGAGGTAGATACACTAAAACCAAGATACCTAACCGATGTAGTGCCGTATTTTATAATTGTTAATTTTTCTTCCTGCGATGTCGGGTTATACACTTGTACAGCCATACTATATTATACTACTTAATAATACCTATGTATACAGTATACAATTTATTTAGTATACAATTATTTAAGAGAATGTGTTATTAAATATTATATACGTATAACATATACACGAAATAACTTTCGGACATTTTTGGGCAAAATATAAGATTTTTAAAATTCTTATTGATTATCATGTACAATTAGGTATCAAGATTTTCTTAAGTTGAAAATCACTACGAAATATTAGTATGTACCACAATTGACTTGAAATGCACACTTCCAAACCGCAAAAATACGTTCAGTTTATCATCAGTCCATCTTTTTGGTACATAAAACTCATATTGATACCACGACCATCCGACGTAATCTCGTATGGTTGAGTTTGTAGAAACATCATTGTAACTAGATGGAACAGGCATTTTCCAATAATCACCAAGCTAAAAAATATAGTAGGTACTATTAATTATTGTATATATTTCTAGGTACTGTATTACTGAAATATTAATTTATAAAGTATTATAAAGTATTTTCCATGTTCTCTAAAATGTTATCAGGTTAGATTTTACGTAAGTGTATATTCGAACCAGACCAATGGCGTAGCCCCGTCAGGGTGGACTCAGTATCTTCGGTATTGCTACAACCATCTCCCCCGGTAATGTCTTTAACAATAACAGAAATTCACTATGGATAATTTTGTATACGGAGTGAAAACGTTTAACGTAAGGCACTCATTAATAATTATTTTCAAAAACATTAACGTTTTTAAAAATATATCCTTTACATAATTTTAAATCCTTAAAAAACAACATGACAATATTCATTTTTAATTTCATATTCATAAGCAGAATATTATTTGGAGTATTTTTATTTATAAAAACCAAAATGTTGATGAGTATTAGTTATAGCTCATAACTTCTTTTCCTATAGTAGCGGTACCCAACTGGGGGGGGGGGGGAGTAGAGTCTGATCGGGGTAAATATAGTGATGATGTAATTACGAAAATAATTATGTTATTTTACAATGTAAATATAATAAATATAAATAGTTTTATATTGTATAATATAAAGTTATTTTGTATGTTTTATTTGTACCGCTCACAAAAAAAAAAATTCGACTAAACACTAGGTAATTTAAAAAGGGGGGGGGAATGAGATTTTAGTAAATTTACAAGGGGGACATAGAATGAAAAAGGTTGGGGACAGCTGTTCTATAGTGTCTGGTTCGAGTTGCCAAGAATCACAGTTAGTACTTGGTAATAAAATATCCAATAGGTAATATAAAGGTATCTGGTAAGTAACTTATAACTTAAAATTGAACAACTGCTCTTCCGAATATATATTTATTTATAAAATTATAGTTTATAAGTATTTAAAGATACAGTTCATAAGCTACTCGTTCAAAATTCGATTATTATACTCCGATTACTACAAAAAATACTCTGTATTCGATTAAGAATTAGAAATGCATGCTGTCATTAAAATATTAAAAATAATTTATGTAATGTATGCGTAATTTAATATTAGATACCATCATATCATATTTTACAAAGTAAAACTCCAGCTAAATGTAAATAATGTTGATTATATAATCTCAATACTATTATATGAAATTCAGAAGTAATTATCAGAGACAAAAATATTAAAACTATAAACTGCAGCGTTACCTATTAGAATAAATAACAAATATGCTATTTACTCAAATTAAAAGCAAATTCTCATTATACTAGGTACTAAAATAATTCATTACTCTAGATAGATTGAACTTTAATAGCTAAAATATACTTTCCAATTTATGACATAAGTAATATTTTGTGTGTATTTAAAAAATCTCATTAATAGGCTATAAATTTAATATTAACGTTAAGAAAAATACAACGTAACTCGAGAATTAAATTTATTTTTCAAAGAAAAACTTTTGTAATAATATGATTTTAATAAGTAAATCATACGTGTTGTAGTCACTATAGGGTATTATAAGTATTCTTGTGATGACTTACTGTTTCGAATCTCACTGCATACCATTTTTCATCAAACCCGATCAATTGGTCAGACAGTGGAGATATTTTAAAGTTCCATAGGCCATGTAGAGTACGAAGTTCGCGACTTTCACTTTCCACTGGATACAAAATATTTGCAGCTAAAGATGGCGCAACAAAAGTCACTAAAAGTAAAAACATCGCTGTTTCCGATGGTCTAACCATAGTGAAGTTTGAATTGAATATATCTGAAACTTTTATTAAGGCGCATAGTCATAAGAATGAACCTTAAACATCTGAGGTTCATTGGAACATAGTCTGTAAAACCGGTTTAAATGACAGGAGGTTTAACCATAAAACATAAAAAAACACGGGTATTAAAAAAAAATGGTAGTTTTTTTTGTACACCTACACAATTAATGCTTGTACAGCGGTTGAACTCCGAAGTCCAATTTGAATAGTAATTACATCCGTTTGTTCCGAGACAAACGTTAGTTTGTTCCGAGACAAACGTTAGTTTGTTTCAGAAAATTTGATTTATACACCTACCAATTATATCAACACAAGTGTTGTTTATTAAGTATATATTTCCGCCCACTCTGTAGGTACTTAACTATCTAACCTATAGGTACAAAGGCACAAAGGAATAAAATAATGATAAATTTAGTTTTATTATTTCTATATTAACATAAAATATATGTTTCATATAGTCATGGATGTACAAATTTAGGGGACGGGGAAATGTAACTATTTATCTAATGATTAGCATAAATTGGAGGTAGTCATAAAGTATTTTTTTGCCGAGGCAACTTATCAATACCCTTCCTGCCATAAAAAAATCTAAATTAAATATTCATGTTATATTTTTTATTTGTATAAAAAAACCACCTATTTAAATTCACAAATTATAAATTAAAATAATCAATAACCATATACTGAAAAAAACTATAATATACATTTCCCGATTATTTTAAAATCACTAAAAATTGTCTTCTCTTTAACCCCACTTCCCTCTGCGTACTACATAATTACTACTATAATAAATTTTTTGCCAAAAGTTACACTTAATGTTGAAGATTGAACCATTACATCCTCACATGTATCTAAAAAGCATGCATTCAATAGTATTTGTTTACCTATCTAATATTCAAATTATTTCAGATATATTATTATTTATTATTTTATCTGAACAAAATGTGTCTAATATTTCATGTATTAAATAATTAAATAACTAATAAGAATTAGTTATATATGCAACTAAATTCTTGTTGAGGGAGGTGTAGGAGGAAGGTATTAAAATGTTGTTCAATACAAAAACAAGAACTCATATGATTTTACCAGTTTTGGATTAGGTTTAGGTTTTCAAAAATATTAAATTTTGATTTTGGTTAATACTAAACTTAGCCTTATCTATACGATTTTCTGTTTACTTAACTTTTAAGAATTAAGTACTATAAATATAATATCAATAATAATATCACTAAAATTATAAAAAATAAACTATTAAACTCATATGAGTACCTATTTATGGGCGTTTAATTATATCATTAAATTCTAAAAATTGTAAGAATTTAAAAAAATATACAAATATAAAATGTAGGTATAAGACTATCAGAAACTAAAAAATAATAACTCTATTATTTAATCCAACTAATAGAAAAACATAGTATAAATGTCTATGTACAATGTACATAGATTCAAAAAATAAAAAAACACATTCGCTCAGCTTAGAATCTAAAATATAAACTTTTAACTAACAATTAACTAGTCATACAAAATAAAGTAAGCTTATTATAGATAAGTGGGTACTTTTTTATAGTAAAATTATTTAAAAAAACCTTTTGCCGGGTTGCATGAATAATCACTAAACATATTTTAATGAATTAGTTATACTATAGTATGTTTAAGAATATTTTTCAAAATATTCTTGTTTTCTTATAGTATGTGTAATCATTAATTGTTTTATTTGAAAACAAATAGAAAAATATTGAATAGAATAAAATTTAGTTATATTGGTAGATAGTAATGGTTTATTAGGGCTAGGATTTATATGCAATAAAAAATTGTAAGATATGTATTTTATTAATCAAAGTATGCAAAAACAACTTTTTTCATTTCTACATAATATTTTGTACATAAAAATCAGAAACTAATTTAAACAGAAACTACTTACTAATCAATGTATATTTATTATTTTTATTTAAATAAAATTATTATTTATTATAAGCAGTGGCGTAGCCAAGGGGAGGCTGAGGGGGCTGCAGCATCCCCCGAAAAAAAATCCTGGCTACACCACTGATTATAAGTACCTAGTTATTATGGCAATTGAATATTACTGTGTAAATATGTGCTTTCAAGTTTCAAGTAAGGCAATTCGACATAATATTACCCAATATTTATAGACGTTTATTACATAATTAATGCTACCATTCTATATCTTATAAAATTCGAGATTAATTCAAATCGTGGACTTACCTGACAACCAATCAATTTTAACTCAAAGAAAAAACATGTGAATTCATAGAAATATACCCTTATTCATAATAATTACATTAGTCATTGGTTCATTATTTTTGTTACTTTCACTATATGGTAAAGATATTACACACAAGCCACATTGCTACATGAGAAACAATTAAATTGAAGTTTCGCCGATATGTGACTTATTTTTAGGTGTTTTCTGTTCACTCTTCTTGACTTGTGTAAAGGAATATTAAATGTTTCAACGTGTTTAATGCAATCCCGTCTGACTGTTATGATGTACATAATATATTAGTATATTTGCCTATCATACATGAATAATTATTATAAATTAGGTTTAGCAATATTTACATAAATCATATATGCACAGTGATTTTTTTTTTTTTAGTTAAATCTTAGTTTTTTTTTTTAAAGTATTTACGTATTTTAATTTTTAAATATTTCATTTTATCTCTGGTCAGGTGACACTACTGAGGGTCTTCCTATTCGAATATTTCATAATGTCATATAAACTTTGTCATCATACTTACTGATTATTGTAAAATAGATTGTAAATATATGTAAAAAAAAAAAAAAAAATAAAATATTTCATTTTTACATAAAAATCATTTTGAACATTTAAACTCGTGTTGTACCTGCCAAACAACATCTAAGTATTTATTTTATCGTACTCTTATTTTATTATTGACTTTATACTCCAAAAAGCGATCGAAGCAGAGCATTTACCAGCAGAGATAAGTATCGAATTACAAACGCTTTACCATTACAGTAACCCACTTTTTTCCCCGGATAGAACCGACAGCAGAGGAGGATCTGTTTACTCAATGCTACTCCTCTGCAGCCATCGTTTATTAATGAATAACATTAAAGATATTTAAGCACGATACCGTACAAACGAATATACACAGTAACCCACTTAACATTTGCTATACTACAGCAGAATGCAGGTGCCTAATCGTGCACCCTTTTTTTTATTAAATTGTTATCAACCTTTGATTCAAAGTTTTTTTCCGACACTTGAAGATTGAGTTTTTAAGTCTCTATGACATAAAATCGCCGATTACACATCATCATTTTAAACTTACTGTTGTGCGTGAGCTCAGAACCAAAAGGCGCTAAATCAATTTTTCAAAAATCCATATTTTGATACACGCGTGGATCAATTGATCAATGCTCTATAATCCAAGCTCACATCCAACCTCGTAGGTCCATTATTTAAAGATTAATACAGAACTAAAAGGTGCTAAATCGATCAAATCTACACATTTGTTATTTGATAGCGATCTTAATAGCACCTTTTGGTTCTTAACAATAGGTAGTATTAAAACCTAAAGGTTCTATCTATATGATAAAATAAATTAGTGAAAACCAAAAAGTAATATCTCATATTCACTGTATCGACCACACAATAATAATATGATACTACAATGTTATTAATTATTGTACATTTTTATCAACAAAACAAAGATTGTCATGAATAACTTACAGTATTTAAAGTACCAACACCTCAAAGGGGGAAGATAAAAGTTTGGGTGGTATGGCCGTTACAAATATCCTACGTTGAAAATATCCCCGTTACAAATATCCCAACTAAAAATATCCTATGTACAAAATATCCCCAGTAATATTATCCCTTAATTCATAACAATATACATAAAAAATATTTTTTTTTAAATGACAAATAAGAACCAGTCTAACTTCTCAAAAACTATGTTAGTCATACTAACATACACACTATGTGTATATCATAGTATATAATGTATATCAGTAGAATTCAATATAATAGTCATTTATGGACTTATGGTTATCTCATGTTCGATATCTTTATACATAATATAAAGCACGGTTATCTTAAGCCATGATATAAAGCCGCGTAATCAGATACTATTAGAACCTGTAATATTAATACCTGTATTTTGTTCAAATAATAAAAATAATAATTGAAATTTTCGGCAATATATCGGAATTACACGCATTTCTCAACTTTATACAATATGCTCTCGTAAAAGTAATACTACGTTTCCTTTAATTTATATTTTAATGACTGACAGAACAAAAGAAACGTATTCAGAAATGTTTAAATGTTCAAAAACTAAAAAACCAAACCTTAATCTATGTTAATGGTTGATTTTTAAAATGCTTTTATATCAACTTTTAAAGAAGAATTTCCAAGGCGGTAATTAGAGATTGCTTTTTTCAATTTACCCGGTTAGTTTGGATGAAAATATAAAATAGTGGCCTACAGACAAAATATGGTCAAGATTCTGAATTTTCATTACAAGTTCAACTTCTTTGTTCGTTGTCATTTACACCACAAAATAAAGTAATTGAAGCCTTTGATGAGCTTATTGAATCAGAATATTATACTTAAAATGAAGAACAATTAGAATCTATAATAATGTATTTTAAAGATACGAGGATTAGACGTTCAGGGCGGAAAGACGAAGAGGAGCACATTTTAATATTGACTTGTGGAATTGTTATCAATCAGTTATTCACAAACAATCCCGTTGAATGGTGGCACCACGTCTTTAATGGATCTCTACAGGAGCTCATCATGCATCGATATGGGAATTTATCAAGTGTATCCAATTAGAGCAAGGTAAATAAAATATACAATTATATGAACAGTTATTATTTTTTAATTTTTATTTAAGTAATATTATTACAATTATGTAGGCCTTCAAGAAGCAAAAATTGAAAAATACATGTCTGATGAGCTACCCGTTAAAAAAATGAAAGTTTACGATAAGTTGGACGGACAATTAAAAGAAGTGGTTCTTAACTATGATTTATGAACATGTTACTGTACTGAACTATTGAAAAGGCATTGCGTGTAATTTTTCATTTAAAAAAATCTTTTATATGTATGTTTAATTTTAAAAATAATGTTAATTTTAAGATAGTACGGTACATTGTACAAATAAAATAAACAATTTAACTAAAATTTATAAAATTATTTGAAAAAAATAAAAATAAATATAGTATATGAATTGAAGGATAATATTACTGGAGACATTTTAAATGTAAGATATTTTTAGTTGGGATATTTGTAACAGGAATATTTTTAACGGGGGATATTTTGAGTGTGCACCATTTTAATTGAGTGGTCGTAGACGCAATAATAAAAACAAGAGTTAATACAAATGTAGAGAACTTTTACTTATTTATAAACGAGGATATTTTGAAGGGGAACCAATTAAAATCAACCATGTTATAGATATGAAAGCAGAATTGGGCGTGCGAGGAGTTGAAGGGACGTTTTTCTATTTTTAGTCTCCTACTCATTCAATAGAAAACAAATACAAATACAATGACTTCTTTTTATACTCTCAAGCATCGTTATTCTAAAATTTAGAAAATCTTGATATTTTTAATTCAACACTATTGTTTTTATTTGTGTAAAAAAGTGGTTATAATATACACAAATTACCACTATACTAGCAAAATTAATTAATGGCGTATTTTTTTATTTAAAAATATTCCTTAGTTCTTCTCTAATTTTTGAAAATTCCGGCAAGTGGCGAAACGTCCTTGAATGTTTTTAAATTTGCCAAAAAATTAAAATAATTTATTCTATTGTAATTTTTCTTAAAACGTAAAAAACTTTTTTTAAATTTATGACGATGATGAGAAAGAATATAACATTTTTATTTTATTATAAATATATGGACTATATAACAGGTAATTAATACATTTGAATTACAAGTTTACAACAAATTATCCAAAATAGAAACAAGAATATAAACATATAGAGAAATAAAAAAATTTAAAAATTTAAAATTTAAAATAAAAAGGATTATAATAGATGTATAAAGCAACAAAAGCAACAGGTAACAATTGAAAAAGATTACAAAATTCTGATATAATATGAAATTGCAAGCGGTTTAATATGAAAGGTATGGGGTCCATATTGGCATTAGACATAATCCGTTACAGGCTCATCTTACAAGTAATTGGTGGCACTCAAATCCTCATTGGGACATGAAAAGTCGTAGTGAAAAGAGAGGTGCGTTATAAAACTTAAAACTTTATAATGTATAAACGATAGTAAAATTCTAGTTATAACAACCCTTAAAAGATTTTTACACCCATTTTTCACCTGCGCGATATTAGGTACCTATAGCTTTTCTGCAGTGGAAACTGGCAGGGGCGTATTTAGAAATATCTTATGGGAGAAGGGCACAAGCAAAACATTAAAATTATATACATAGTGATAACTCATAATTTCCATCTCAAAATAACTAAATAACCAAAATACATGTGTTTGATAGAAACATAACATTTAATTATTAAGAGAGGTTAATACCTCAGTTATAAGATATTATAAAATACGGTAAATGGGGAGAGCACGGGCCCCATGTGCCCCGCTTAAATACTCCCCTGGGCAGTGGTGACGAATAGTGGAGGGTACACGGAGGTATACGGGGGAGTATTATAGCCATATAGGTACTAACTTCAAAAATGTAATATAAATAGTATAATAGGGATACAATTAAAGTAAAACATGGCTATATCTACGGATGATCATGATTTATGGGCCATGGTTGAAAACGTACAATATTATAGGTTGTTATGAATTTAACTTACACTGTAGTACTAACGGGTAATAATAAAATAAATTCCTTTAATCGCCATATTATTATCATAAAATATACCTACTTAGTAACATTATAGGCTGACTTAGCTGTCTTAGCTCAAGATCGTATTTCGCATACAATGATTAGATATATATATAATATATTATTATTATATATATTTATATCATTGAATTTAAAATTTAACAAATTTATTAGTGACTCATCTTTAAACACCTAACGTATTAATCTGTCACTGATACAAAGTACTTTCAGAGATAGACAATGTATTAATAGTTACCATGTACCTACCATATAAAGTATAACAGTAATAACTAATATGTTATATTACGTAAATAAGAAATAAAATAAATTTAAAAATAATGCAGAAATGTTTGTCATTGGCCAGGGATCGAACCACTGATGTTTATTAACTGTTGATTAAAAGCGACTAGTTTCAACTAAAATGAATTAAATAGCCATTTTTTTCGAAAACTTTTGCTGGACAAGAAATGTGAAAAAGAGATGGGGGCCCCTAATTTAACTCTCCAGCTGCACTCACGCCTACTACTGCAGTCAGTATCAGAGGGTTTAGGTTTCGTAGAGTTTATTTGGTTTCAACACATCTTTCGATCGACGATGCCATCGAACTTACAAGTGTCTTACCTATTCTGTCGAGTATCTAAATACACGATTTCTTTGTTCTCGCGGCAACAAATTAAAAAAAAACGATTAACTGTAATATACTGATAAGCGTATCCGGGATCATATGGTAAACTCTCGATTGTCCGCGGAATATGGTGGCATGGCAACCGTTTGGATAAGTGAATTCTGCGGTTAAACCGCAAAATACAGATTGCAGAAACAAAAATGCTATTATTATATAATACATTATTTAAAAATATATATGATGTAATAGATATTTAATAGTTTTAAAAGAAAATTAAATAAATACAAGTATTTTTATTCAAACGTTCATATGATTATCATTAAGCAGTTCCTTCCTTTTATTCCAGAAAACCGAAAACGGTTATTTGCCATATATTGACTATAATTCAAAAATTGTTTTAGTTAATACCATAGACCTTATACCTTAGTTAATACTTAATATTTATCTTTATTTATTCTTGTTAGATTTGTTACTTTTTTCTCTTTTACTCTGTATTCTTAATGCATTATCTAATATAAAAATCTGTACCTACTGTAATTGTCCCCTTAAGGCATTGATATATCCATAAAAAAATAAAAAAATAAAATAAAATATATACATCTATACCGTGTGTCTGTAAAATCAGGGTACCTACACTCCAAGCTTCGTTACTTATACTACTCAGCAGTCAGCACACCATAGATTTATTATTTGAATTCCGTTTGCAGTAGGTACATGTTCTAACTGATGGATCATAAATTCCTATAACTTAAAATTATTCAACTCATGTATTTATCGTATGAGCAACAATATTTTCTGTATAGGCTGTTTTTGTGGACACACGGTATATACCTAACATTTACAAACATTTTTTCCCAGCGTTTTTGCTAACTAGTGGGAATTTTAAATTCTGTCCTCCTAAATGTACCAATAACTTGATTCACTTTTCCCCCTGATAAAATACTGATGTTGAAAGTTGGATCATTATTTCGACTACTTAAAGTGTACACAGTACACGGACACGAAAAATTGGTAATAATAATAAGTAATAACGAAGATCTGGCGCAGTGAATATTTTTTCAAATTCAATTTAAATCAGTAGTTGTCAAAGTATTAATATCATTATTTGCATGCTGCTCAATGGTATAAGTTTAGATGGTCTTTCACAAATATTGTCTTTTGCTTTTCGTTCTAATTCTTGTTCAGTATTTGTCTACTTAATAATTTAATATCGTCTTTACAATCCAATAAGCCGAAACTCACTATTGTACTAGTAAATAATATATATCATTTTGGAAGTTGGGACTCAATTCACGCAAATAATTATAAAACTTGGAACTCAACTAGGTAGGACAATTTCAAAATTGTATTTTTTGAGAGGGCTCAAATTCGAATATCACCGAAAATAATGTCCATAACAAAAATAATAACGAAGGTGTAGGGTCAGAGGGCATTTAAATGAAGAACAAATTACTAATGTAGAAAAACGATATCACATATATTAATAATTTAAATAATTACACATCACTTCACCAGTATCCCGCCACTATCGGAATCACCTGGCACAAACACACAATTAATGGGTAATATTTAGAATACTTAAGAAAAGAATGTACAACAAACGACGATCACCATTCACCACGGACTCGGGCCTAAAACATCGCCGGGATGTCGCTAGACTACAACTAACTAACGGCTAGGCGTCCGATAAATAATAATAATAATAGTAATAATAATAGTAACAATAATAGTAATAATAATAGTAATAATA